TTGACAAAAAAACTTAAAATTTTAATTTTATATGAATTTTATGTATAAAATTACTTATATATATATATGGTCTAGACCACCAAATCTCACTGATTCACTGAACCAAATTAAAATTAGCAGTTGGTCTGATCTGGCCTTAAAATTGTCCGATTTGATCAGAAAACTTCTGAAATCGTTTTTTTTTTTGTTCAGTTAGGTATTTTAAATTTTAGAAACCAGATCATATATATATATATATTATACACACAAATTTGTATATATATGTATTTATTCATTTAACATTTAAATATATTTTATAACTGTTAACTGCATAAATGTTTTATTTTATACATAGCTGTTGTTGGTTTCAATTTTTTAACCTATAATTTGATTTTCAATGAGCTGTTCATGTTTTGAGAAATTGTGAATGCAATTTATATAATAGTAATATGTGACACTTGTCAACAATTAAATTTGATATTTGAATTTTATTTGTTATCAATCTGGATATTCATGTTATTTGGACTTATTTATTGGGTTAAACCCAATAAAATGCCCCAAATCATATTAAAAACTAGACCAAAACTGTAATAGAATGGTTTGGTCTGATTTAGTTTTGATTTGGTCTAAAAATTTCTGAAACCGTAATTTTTCAGTTTAGTCTAAGGGTCGGTTTGGTTTGCAGTCGGAATCGAAATCAGAATGGCCCATTCCCATAGTCTATTTGATTCAGACAAGAATGAAAATGAAAATTAAAATCAGTAGATGTGGGATTTCATTCCCTAGGGAGGGGCAGGGAATGATCATTCCCTCAAATGAGAGAATGCCATTGCATCAATGGGAATGGGATTCCGGTTCCATCTAACTAAATAGTTGGAATCAAAATAGCCCATTCCCATTCCAATTCCAGACCCCAATTCTCATGAACCAAATGAGGCCTAAGATCTTATCCAAACCAGTCCCTGAACACCCTAGCTACTAAGCCTACTATTACCATTGAGTGATGAATTCCCAGTAAATTCCACCCTTCCGATTCTGGGCCTGGCAAGTACTCATCCCTTGCAATGCATCTTACTTTTATCTTTTTAACCTCCTATTGACATTAACAGGATCACTCCTACCATCCTCTTTATTCACTCAGCAGTCAGCACTTACTTGCCCTGTTTTTTCTTTGTACTGGTAAAAACTATAAATGGATATATTTCTTGATATCCCAAAACGAGTTCGTTTCAGTTTTATTAAGTCCATGAAATGATGATGAACTGACGGCACTCGTTATCTCGCGTTCTTTAAATGTTTGATTCTGATGGCTTACCTACAAAAACCAAAAAAGGCCCTCGCCCACCAACGTCCTTCAAGTTTAATCTTGTGCAACCTGAAAACTCGTGGTGGCAGAAGCCTCTGTACTGCACTTAAGCAGTTCTGTCACTCATGTCCTTTCATTTTCCATTGTGGGCTCACCCATGCATTTTCATTTATCTGCTCCTTCAACATTAATAATCAGCATGAAAAGGAAAATAGGGTCCTAGTCAAGATTCTGCGATCACTGTGCTCAACAGTCTAATTAAGGATAAGCTTCAGGGTTTGTGGTTTTAAAGTAAAAAATTACATAGCCCCAATTTTTTAGGGTTTGTGCTTTGGAGCAAAGGTGTTTTAACTGTTGAGTGTTATGGGTTTAAAGCAACTCTTAAGTCTTATCCACTTATTAGTTCATATTTGTTTTCCACAGCAAAGTTGAAAAGCAAAAACTTATCCAAACGAAGCTTAAAGCAGGCTATTTGCATAGTCTCTGATTAAGCTAATTGCCATCATTTTCTGGTCATTAACCTTTCGACATATTTAACGCACACAGAAGTCTTCAACTTGATTAACAATTCCAATCATTCGTGGCCCTTAAACTCAAGACTCATGGATCTGACTTGATTGCTTAGGCTCAGTTTGTTTACAGTGCGAATTTCATTTGTTTGGGTGCATGCATTGGGGTGCAAATATGTCCCATTTAATCAAACACTGGGCCATTTGAGGGTTTCCCAAATTTGGTCTATGGACTTTTTGAGATGCGGCTGAGCTTGTTCTGAGTGTTCAATCCATCAAATAAATTCAGCAAATTGATTCACTCTTTTGATGGTGGGGCTTGTCATGAATCATGACAGCCGCCCATCGTTTGGTATGGTTGTTCTGTTTTCAAATAATTCAATCAATCAATCAATCAATTAAGAGCTTGTAAACTGTCAGATCATACCCATTTGTGCCTTTTTACCAGATCGTTACACAAATTGGACGCATTCTTTGCACCTTGTTCTCACGTAAGATGCTCTCTGCTAATGTTTGGTTTGAAGGCAAGGAAAGGTAAGAAAACCTATACTAGATTTGTAAAGGTTTCCTTACATTTTCCTTTCTTTCCCTAGTTTTTCCTTCAAACCAAACATAGCCTAAATTCAAGAAATTCGATTCAGTGATTGAATTTTCCTGACCAAGCCGTTGGAGTTTCATTTATTTAACAATGGGTATCTATTTAATTCACTCTTAACAACCACAGCTACCCTGTTCTTCATTTCATGATTCACCTCTGGCACCAACTGATATGGTTAAAAGGTCGAATTGCAAATGCAGAAACTCTCATTGAATGATCAGTTCAGCACAATTGCACAAACAAGTTCACAACCTCCACTCAAACCATTTGAATAAGGGCAGTATGTTGCGGTGACAATCATCCTTCTAAAAGCTGGCAGGAAGGATGAATTACATGAGAAGTTCAGAACATTTATAGGATATCACCTAACAACTATACGGTTGTACTTAATGAGGGATCATTGGTGAGGGTGAGTAAACTTTCCAACTTAGGTTTCTGAGATGTAAACCAATTAACACTTATTAGGTCTTGATTCAGTGTACAGGGAAGTCCATATGTTTGGGGTTTCTTTTCAACTATCAATTAGGTAGCTGGATGTGTCAAGCGGATTCCAGCCCACTCTTAAAAGGAATCTTCGAGCTAATTAAACACGCATGTTTATATATATTAAACTCTGTTTGGTTCGCCGGAATAGTCTAAAATCAAAATTGAAATGAGTTATTCTGATTTCAACTGGTTGATTGGGTGGCATCTGAATTGCATTCCCATTTTTGTTGGACTGACATTTCCCCATTAGAAGAAATGGCCATTTATTGTCTCTCCCTTGGAATGAAATCCTATTTCTGTTAATTCTAATTATCATTCTCATTTTTGTCTGAGCCAAATAAACCATAACAATAGATCATTCCAATTCTAATTCCCACCCAAAACGAAATGGACCCTAAATTTAAAAAGCTTAGGCCCACTTATAATTTGTGCTGAAATTTCATTAATTATAATGGGATGACGAAATTCCAATACTAGATCAATTTGTCAAAGACTCATACCATCTTAAAAATCCTTCGAGTGTTGAACCTAAAGCTTAAGCTATTAAGTAAATTAAGTTTTACTTTTTAATAATAAAAGAAGTTAGCATCACACGAATTGAAATACTTGTTTAATATATGCTCACTCTAGTGTGTGGAACCAAAATTTGATGAGCCTCTTAAATCCTCAGTTGCCAGGTATTATGAAGCGTCAAAGGACGCATACATAAGTAATTTCGTCATATTCTTACTTCTTAGTAGAAAGTCAATCTGTCAAATGTCACAGCGTGCAGTGGAGATAGTAAGCTTGCCACATGTTCTATTAATCACATGCTGCATTTTAGCTGATATCGATCAATGTCATTTCACATTAAAAGTTGCTTGATGTAACAGTGTTACACTTGTCATGAGTTCCGCTGTCGTGCATGTGCATTCTACGTTAATCATATCACAGGCTGCTGAATTTCATATTTCACCATATGCCTTTGAAGTCCAGTGTCCAGATGCAGATTAGAACTGTGAGAAAGGAATCGAGCCTCTTTCCCTCACACTGTCACAACCATCTGCATTTTTGTAACCACACAAAGCCTATTTTGGCGCTTAATTGTTGGAGCTGATTGGTTTTTGTTTAAGGGTCCGTGGAAGTAAGTACATATTTGGTAAGGGCACCGTGGGCCTTTCCTAGTGACTCTATATGCCTTGACAAATATATGATCTTCCTTCTAGTTAGGCACATTGTGCTTTAAAATCATATCTGAGATATCATTTAAATATATGTGGTTATATATTATTAAATTTTATATCATTTGCATAAATAAATTGTTTTAAATGTTGTGATTTTACTCAATTATGTTCGTGAAATATAATAAGTTAATAACATAATATTTTGATCATTTTTACTTAATGTGTATATATATATATATAATTCAATGTGAATTTAATTCGGGTCTACCTATATCCGATTCGATTCGACCCGTTCACAGCCCAGTGAGTGAGTGAGGCACTGAAAATAACCTTAATACACGTTCTGAGAAGTGAGAGCGAATACAGAGAACTTTTTTTTCGCATAAAACGTAACCTTCTTACCTAAAATGCTTCCTGGTTAATATGGAGATAGTTGATAAATAAGAAAAAGAAAACAGTATTCCAGACTAAACCCTTGCACGCGAGCGAGACAAATTGGACGTACGATATTTTGATGCTTCATTAATCTTCCTAGAATTAACCTACTTAAGTAATTAATTAGACATGTTAATGACGGAGTTCATCATCTAATTTTCTAGTGTAAGTTCAGGAGATCCCAACACGTGGTGCATAGTCAATGTCAACTTTAGCCAAACATGAAAAGGGTATTACAGTAATTGTAGATCTACAACGATGGGTTGCATTCTCACAGGCTCACAGCTACTTGCCATGAATGGTGTGTAATTACCACTTACCACACAAGTTCCGAACCCCTGACGATAAGTAATGACGAAGATTCCGGAAATTTGTCGGTTAGCAAAACGGAGGTCTACGGTCTACTCACTCATGGGTCAAGATTTCACGATTTTCTAGATATTATACATCTTATCATGATTCATGAGATTGGGATCCATTATAAATACAAGACCCCTTATATATGAGATGTGCGATGTCAGACTTGGAAGGGTATTAGAACTTATTTCTTCGTTGGCAGGAAATCCCAACTCTGTGGATGCACCCTAGCTGTGTGTAAGTGCGCGTGTGAGGGCTGCGTGTGTGTGAGTGCCGAGTGCGTGCCTCTTGTGAGTGTCGACCATCTTGAAACGCTGGACTCTCCGAGAATACCTCAATCACTTGCCTTTCCAACTCCAACTCCCAAGGTCTCTCTCTCTCTCTCGTTTTCATTGAAGGGTCCCTTTCCCTTTCTTTCATTTCAACGGCACTCTCCCACATTTCCCTTTAAGCATACAACTGTAGAGTTGCGAACAATTAACAAAAGGTCCAACTTCAAATGCAGATTTGTAGGATGAATTGTTGATCACAGTTAGGTTTTGTGGAATCTGGAGTCTCACTCGGTTGAACTTCCTACTTTCTTCATCCTTTTTTCTTTTATATGGAATGTGAAGTAGGATTGGATGAGAATTTCAAATAGGTTTGCACATTTTGATGAATTTTGTGTCTGGAGATGGATCCTCCTTCTCTGATTAATGAAGGTTCGTTTCCCGCCGCTAACCCGTCCCCTTATAGCTTGGCTGAGATTTGGCCGTTTCCGCTCAATGGTGGTGGAGGTGTTGGAGATTCCGCTGGTGTTTTGGGATTGAGGAGGAATAATTTTGGGCAGAATTTGGGTGGGTTTGTAGAGAGTGCCGGGACGGGGACGGCGGTGAATCGGGATATGTCCATCGATGAGTCAACGATTACGGAGCAGAGCGTGAGTCGTGGTGGGAATGGAAGGAAGCGTAGAGATGCTGGTTCGGAGGATGAATCGTCTAAGCTTGTCTCTACAAGCAGTGGCAATGATGTGGTACTCTACTATTCTGTTTTTAATTCATCTCTTCTCCTTTCCAAACTGTCTCTCTTGTTGGTTTCCATTTCTTAAATGCTTTTCTTCACTTTTATTTTGCTGTATTTATTTGTTTTTTGAGTGTTCTTGCAGTGTAAGACTTGGGTAGTTTGGATTTACTGAAATTTTTCTAAGGTTATTATGATTTAGGTTTTAAACTGGAATTGATATTTCTTATCTGGGAAGAACTTATTGCACTAAAGTTTTTCCTTTTCAAGATTTTGATGCAAATAAGCTTCAGTAGTTAATTACTTTGGGGCTGTTGATGTGTTGAAGCTGGACTTGTTGAGAGGTGAAGTGTGTGAGGGTGGATGTTCAGTTAGTTGGGAGTTAAAATGTGTGCATTAATTCAGCTATTTAGATAGAAGTCAATTGGTTCTAGGTTCTTATTGTAGTGGTCTTCATAACATTTCTCTTTTAAGCAGAACGATTGTGATGGTAAACGTCTAAAGGTTTCGAGATCCAAAGATGAAAATGGTGATTCAAAAACTGAAACAGAAGCAAGTTCTGGCGCTGGTAACAAGCCAGCTGAACAAAACACACAACCTCTTGAACGGCCTAAGCAAGATTACATTCATGTGCGGGCAAGGAGGGGCCAAGCTACTGACAGCCACAGTCTAGCAGAGAGAGTAATTAACTTATATCCTCTTAACTTCATTATTTGCGATTGTGACTTGCTGTAAATGTGTAGTAATAGTGACCAAGTTTCTGAGGTTCACATGGCAACATTTTTAACTTTACACTGAGATGCATAAACACTGCCTCTTTTTTATTGCTATCATCCAGAAAATAGAAACTTTATTGGATGCAGATGGTGCACCTGACAGATGATGTCCACATATACCATATAAATAACGATTATTGGAACCATTTGTTGGACAGGCTAGGAGAGAAAAGATCAGTGAGAGGATGAAAGTTCTTCAAGATCTGGTTCCTGGATGTAACAAGGTGCAATATTGTTGCTTCAGTGCTTATATATTGGTCTGTTTACCTTGGCATATGTTGTAACTTCCGTGTGTTCTAATACAATTGGAAATCCTTATTGAATCCAGTGCTATTTTTAGCCTCCTTCCCCCAACGCCCCCCTCCCCCACAAAAAAAAAAAGTAAGAATGTTTTAGTAAATTGTGTTCTTCCTTTTCCATTTAAGATGCCATTTTCTGAAGAGTGTTGCTGAGAAAAGTTTTGTTATGTAGGTCATTGGCAAAGCTGTGGTCCTTGATGAAATAATTAATTACATCCAATCACTCCAGCGTCAAGTTGAGGTATGCACCCTTTTTCTATTATTTATTTTGTTGCTTTTTTTTTTATCTTTGTTCCTTTCAGCCAGTGAACTTGAAACTGGATTTATATAAAACTTTTGGATGCTGTAGTTTTTGTCGATGAAGCTTGAAGCAGTTAATTCAAGAATGAACCCAGGCATTGAAGGATTCCCTTCAAAAGATGTAAGTCTTAATTACATAGACTGAATCATGCTACCCCTTAAACTTTTTCTGGACCACCTATCTTTTCTACTTTTATGAGTGCAGCTCTAGATTGGAGACCAACTTCCAGTGGGGATGTTGGTTTTCATTGTCCATTATGTTGTCAATTGACTGTGTAATCTGTATTGACTTTGGTGAACCAGTCACACAGTTTCACATATTATTCAGTCTTGACAATGATGATCGGTGGTCTATTATGTCCATTTCTTCTCATCATTGATGTCAGCCCGTCAGAGATGAGAAAGGCAGGGATGCAAGTAATGAGGCAACACAAGGCATTATAAGTGAAGAACTCAACTCTCTCTTAATGTGGCCAAGTGTGAGACTCAGCTGAGGTGATTAACGCACTTCACTGAGGTGCCCCATGGGGAAAAAGTTATCTTCTTTCTTCTTCAAGGAAAAAATGTTCCTTCTTAAAACTATGGAGCTTCGCATGTTGGTGGGTGTAATAGATAATTCATGTTGTATATGGTATATTTTAGAAGCATTATATCAATGGCTTTGTGTTGTTAAAATGATATTATTCATTTTAATTTTGTATGAAACATCCATGTGAACAAAAAAAGTACAATGAACAACAATTTTGTGAAGAAGAATATTAAAATTTCCAAGAAAATATGAACAAATCCAAGCAAGGCTTTGTTTTTCTTTTTACCCTTCTCACTTGCCATTCCTTCTCTTTGATTCTTCTTTTGTAGACAGACAAAATAATGAACAGGGATGCCACCCTAATTTTCTTCTTTTTCTTTTGTCTCCCTATTTGTGTTTGTGTGACAGAGGGGGAGGTTATTTTATTTCTTCTTTTAAGTCAAGGACTAAAAGAGTTTCCTCCTAACATCTCATTCCACTAGAAGCTCTTGCTGTCAGGAACACTACTAAAAATGAGGTTATTAGAGGACAATTCTTTGTTGTTGGTTAGATTGCCTTCGTTTTATTTTGATGTTGTTCTCATTGGATTCTTTTTCTTCATTGTAGGTCCTGAATCTTCATGCATCTCATCTTATAAGTTCCTGTAATAAAAAGAAAAGGAAAAAAATGTCTATGTATTTTGGAAAAATGGATTCGCCTTTTCCCTGCTTCTTAAGTGGTGAATATTTGCTTCATTGTGCCCCCCATTTCATATAACAACAATAATAAAAATAATATTTCTGGCCTACAAATACTGTCCCCTTTTGATTTTCCTATATGCCACAATTTTATTCATCACAGAAATAAATGACGGAGGTAGTGGTAGTATAGAGATTTCTTTAACTGTCCCCTTTTGGTTTGTTTTTGTGGAACTGAGGTAGTGGTAATATGGAGATTTCTTTAATAGAACAAAAATATAGCAGAAGCCACTTTCTTTAAATTCCTTTATTCTTCTTAATTCTTCAATACAATTTTGTAGAAACATCATGGAGTCCACATTCTGGAGATCGTTTTTTGCTACTTTACCTCAATATATTTAATTTATATCAATTTAATAAATTAAACTATAGACTCCGGGACATGACCTGGTGTGCTTGACTATAGTGGAACTGTGGAAATGCTTCATTTGTCTAGTTATTGGAGAATGACAGATTCATAAAGGGGATAGAGAAAGGAGGGCAAGGGGGAAGATATAATGCTATTCTTCTGAATTTTTTGTTATCCTATTACTAATAGTTGTATATCTTGTACATGAGTCACACATTAGACCATGGAGTCTTTTGTATATGGGGCTATTCCCCTTCATACTTCTTTCTTTAATATAGTTTTATCCTTATAGGAGATTTGAAAAGATTTGTTATTGCATTTTTCATCTAACAATTTAGATGTGGTGTTTCAGTTTGGTGCACAGACATTTGATACTACTAGTATGGCATTCAGTTCACAAGCTGCAAGGGAATATGGCCAAGGATCACCACCAGAATGGCTGCATATGCAGATCGGTAGCAGCTTTAAAGATCAGCACAATTTTAGTTAATTCTCATCAATTGGCAATAAAGGGCATCAAGCAGCTTGCTTCCTCTTCCAGTGGTTTCCAACAATTATATCCTCATCATCTTAACTCAGAGAAAAGTAATTATTATTTTCTGCATGTGATATGGAGCTATGCTTTCTGTTTATATGACTGAGCTTCAATTGAAAATCTGAAACAGTCTCCATTTCCTCGTGTGTTAGAGATCCATTCTTTACCTTCATGTATCATTTGACAGGAAGTCCTCTTCTTGTTGTATCACTGAACTTGAATTAAACCTCCTAGTATGAATGCTGTTCTTGAACTCTTTTAGACCTAACTAAAGAAAAATGCTTTTTCAAAATTTATATTATCTCAACCATGTCTTCTTTTATTGGTAAGTATGAAGTACTTTTATTGATATGCATGAAATAGTACAGTGGGCACCCCTTTTTGGGCAGCTAGCCACTGTCCCTCGGCTAGACTCCCTTTGATTACAAACTATCTCAATGTTGAAAAAAGAAATTACAAACTATCAGAACCATGTCTTTGCATTTAGCTACATTAAGAAGCCGAGTTATTTCTGCTTCACTGCTGGCATTGCTATAATGAGAAGAACTTTTCCTGGCCATTAGATCTTGCTGTGAGTTTGCCTTGTAAATATCTGATGTGGAGGCATTTTTGTGGTTTTATATTGGTAATTTTCTACTCTTTAGAGACCATTCTAAAATTTACATTTAAGTAGATATGTTTTCAAAATATCACAAGTAGTTGGCTAGACGTTTTTGAATTGAAGTCCCTGATTGAGAATTAGAGAACTTGATAGATGTGAACTCTATGCTCAGGTTCAGGGTTTGCATTATATGTTATCTGTTGGTCAATTTACCTACTTAGACAAACTTTGTTGTAGACTTGTAGTTGCATGGTCTTTGCTGAGTATGATTCTAAATTGACATTAAGCTAGGAGCAATGAAACACAGGATTTGATTCTCATTGATAGCATGCATTCCATGCCGTCTTGGAGAATATGCAAGTTTTTTATCAATAAATATGCAAATTTTTTTGTCAGTCGATATGCTCAACCATATATCGAACTGTGAGTCCTTATAACAGTTCTACTACCTCTGTCCACTTACCATGCTCCCCCGGGTGGTCTTCTATCCACATGCACTGATGCACAAACCATCTTAGCGTGCTTTCTCTCTCATCCATATTTATAATATAAAGAGGAAAGGCAAAAGATGAGGGTTCCCTTCACCACAAAGTTCACACAGACCTCTTCTCATTTCTCACTCATGTGGTTAGTTATTTTTAAATTAAATCATCAAAGTCAAAATAAAAATACTCTCTGGTCTTAAGAATTCGAATTTGCACCCCACGGCCTGGCGCCCCAAAAATGTCCCATACAATAGGGAGTTGCCGCATGTCCTCTCACAAGTGTCTAGCTCGTCCCGTTAGCTTCAAAAGTCCAAAACAAAAATGCTTCCCTCCATCCCCGCTCATAACCTCTCATCTCTTGACCTACACTGAACCCTGCACCTCCTCATCCGAGCTTGACGAAAAATCTGGTGCCGACTGTTCTGGCAAGGACACGAGAGGTACTCCCCATCTCTCTCATCTCATGTGTTTGAATCTGCACTTCTGTGTTGAGTGCTAGTTTAGATGGTTTTCTGTTGTGATTTTTCCATCTGTTCTGGTCTGCTATGTGTTTTCTGTTTAAGGGAAGTGCTTTCCAGTTTTCACCGGAAAAAAGAATGGATGAAGTGGGGCCTCATTACTCATTAGGTTACAATGTTACACGGTTGTAGATAAAATACATTTTATCAAGTTTGTTGTAGACAAAATACTTGTATTTTAGTAAGAATTTCCGGTGGTAAATCACTGGAAAAACAAGGAATAAAATTGGAATCTAATGGTCTGAAAGACTGAAACCAATGCGCATGCGGCAGGATTAGCCTAACTGTTGCCTCCAGTCCTTGTCGGAAGGGTCGTTGGCATCGGCACCGGATTTCTCGTCAAGCTTGGATGGAGGAGGAAATCTATATCTATATATTTATATAATGTCTCCAGTCCTTGTTGGAAGGGTACATTTGCGCTCTAGTTCACTTTTGCCTGTGTTTAGCAATTTATGCATTGACAAATGACAGATCAATGCATATTTACATGATGTAAAAGTACATCAATAAAAAATAATATTCAAGTGAGATTTTGATAAAAAAAAGCATATATTTTATTGAAATTCATATTTGTATCCATTACAGTTAAAAGTCCATTTGTTAAAAAGGTCAATTTGTTAGTGCAAAACTAACCCAATTTTGTAATTTATATAAACGATTTTATGCTCTATATATTTGCATTCATACTTATTTGCATTGTTTCTGAACACAGCCTTACTGACATTCAGTGTACCACTGATATGTGACAATTTTGAGCTTATTGGCCTTCCTACTTTTTAGCAAATACGTAACTTGAAAAAGCTTTACCCAAATTTTTACTTTATTAGCAATTTCTTATTGAAGTCTTTTTGTATAAAATATTAAGATAATAGTTATAACAAATACTAGATAATCTTGCAAATTTGCCATAATAAGCAAGATATTTACAATCCTACCCGTCACTCTAATTTACTATCTTGACATAATTTCCATTAAAAAAAGCTTTTAATGTTTGATAAGGTAGATAGAGTTAGATGGTTTACCGTAAATTGAATGATTAATTTACAATATAGTATAACTATGCTAATAAATAGTAATTATTAAAATTAATAATTTCTATTTTATTTTTCCCATTTATTTTACTTCCCATTATATATGACTCCATGCAAAACCTCAAATGAATTGACTTTTGACCCAAAAATGATTTGGGCACATGTGTGTTTTATTGTGTAGGTAGACTTTTATGTTTTTCCCTATTATACTCCCCATCTCATACATAAAAAAGCGTAGCAGTTAACTAGTCTTTACTTTATAATACCACTATTTATTTTCAATTCACGTTCATACCACGGTTGAATCCAGACTAACCTAGCCCGAAATTCTAGGATTTTCAGTACCCAGGCTACGCATGGGCCCATAACCCTGGATTTTGAGATTTTCCATTTCTTGGACCGAGCGTGGCCTGGTGCTTAGTAGCTCAAGCCCTACTTGATCCCAGCTTGTCTCAAATCTGGCCTGTAATACATAAACATACAATATTGCTATTTGACGGTTTAAATTAGTGGCATTGAGTAGGTCCATATCCTTTTTTTTTTAATTTATAGTAAAAAATAGGCTCGCCCGAGGTTGACTTACCAATCAGAACCTGGCCTGGCCGTCCAACCCAACCCAATTGTATCAATTTTTAGTTCAAACCAGGCCTAAGTTGGGCAAACATATTTCCTCCTCTTCCAAGCATATTTACACATGCTGCTTGTAGCGTATTACATTACTATTAAAAGCAAAAATGGATTGCATGTGGTAAATTGACAATTTCATATAACAGCAATAACAACAATAATGTATTACTTATTATAGAAGCCATATAATAAAGATAGGTAATCTAAGCAGATGTAGTTTCATCTCATCCTACTTGGAGTTATAAATATAGGGATCCTTTTACATAATTGGATTAGATTTATTTGAATTTCGCAATTTACATCTGATTAATAATTATATTGGATGCAAATTTAACCTCATATAATCCAATTAAAATTCATGTTCAATGATTTTATAATATATACTATATAGCAACTCTCTCTCTATATATATTTTATATGATTCTTTTTATTTTTATTTAAATGAATGTAAAATAGGCTCGGATTATCAAATTTTGGAATGGAATATGGATTTCAATCTTCACTAATGTGACTGGGTTCATGTGCTATTAGATCTGGTCCAAATCTTACCTGATCACAACCCTGGAATGGTGTCTCAAGGTACTTGGATTGGGATGACGTATTGTTTAACATGCATATATTATTCTAAAGACAACTTGATGTTCTTATCTAAAGGCTCTATGTTTTTACTCTTTGCAACATTTTAAACCGTTTTGTTGTGTTGAAAACTGATGGAGGGTGATTTGGCCCGACCTCGTAGCCGACCTCGTAGCTCAGGTACATGTAGGCGTGATCTAGCTCAAACAGTGATTCAGCATGACAGCACAACGGACGTGAGCATAACTCGGTGGGGAAGTCCCGCCGAGTTCAGCACGGCAGCTCGGCAGGTAAACTACTCGTCGAAAGCCGCCTTGCCCGCACCTCCTCCCCGGGGTTAAGGCACTTCGGGGGGTCCCGAGTTCGGGGTACCCTGACCCCTTTCGAGACCCGAGCCCCTCTCAATGGACCTTGGGTCACTCCCAAGCAAGAATGCACCGATTCTTCTTCGAACGCCCCGAGGCACAAAGACCTCGGGTCGGCTAGCTCGGCATAACCGGCTGTAGGCAGCCCGTCACTCAAGGGACGGCCCAGCTTAGGGCAATTCGCAGGAGAATATCTTGGTATACCATAGGAGGGCTTCTTGCCCGACCACCGTACCCGACAAACCTGCGAATTGCAGGCATGTCCTCTCGCCGCGCCTGCCACCTTTAGAAAGGCGTCCCACACCTGACAAACACGTACCCAGCACGACGGCCCCGCGCGTGCCACCTCAGCCCTGCCTGTAATAGTTGTGGTAGACTGACAGTGGCGATTATACCTGCCCTGTCAAAAGTCAGAGAGCCTGGAGCAACGGAATTCAGCTATAAGGAACTTATCCTCAAGGAACAAGGTATCTTGAATGACTAGCACAACCTGCACTCCTAGTGTTCATTCTCTCTCAGCTTCTTGCACACAGTACTAACTTAAGCATCGGAGCGTTCCCGCCGGGAAACCCTCCGGGAGTTCTTCCTCCTTCCTCTTGTTTCAGGTACATCTCAGGAGCCACGCGAGCGCCAGGTAGGAGTGACCGGATTGTGCTACAACATTTGGCGTCGTTTGTGAGAAACGCTTCAAAAAGCCTTTCTCTCCAAACTCTTTCAGTTTCCTTCTTCTTCCTTGAAACAATCCAACGCTCATGGCTTCCTCTAGCAACGTCGAACGAAGCATGGAAATGGATAACTCCAGGGAACAACCCCAGCTTCCTACTGTCTGTATTGGACAATTCACCGTCCCCCTCTCAGCGGACGGAATCCCCAGCTTGAACGTGCCTCTCACAATGGCACTTGTCATCGCCCCGCTCCCTGCTACAGTTGGAACGACATTCACCGAACCTTCGGTCGTGCCCCCAGCGGCCAGCCCGAACCAGCTGGAGGACCTGGTGCAGTGCATGAGGGCCATGTAGGCTTAAATGCAACAGTTCCAACAACTTCAACTTTATTAACAACACGTACTGCACCAGGTCTCCCAGTATCAGTA